TCATAAATGTCTCCAAAGGGTGACAACAATTCTTCTTGTAACACTCCGGATCAAAGGAGAGACTGATGCTTTTAATGACCTCCTTAAGAGGTATCTCAAGAGGCCTACTAACGTGTTGTCTGTATTTTTTATTTCTTTCCGTTCATATATGTCACGACAAACACCCAATATCATTCCATACCACCCAAGGGGGATAGTGGTGCACATAGTTCAAAAAGTGGAAAAGCGGTCAGCTTTTTCATGGACCGCTTTTTCCGCTTTGAGCGCTTTAGCGCGCTTAAAGCTGAAAAAGCGGTAGTGGCATTTTTGTAAATAAATGTAATTTTTTTTAAAATTGCATATATACCCCTGTTTATATACATTTTTTTTTAACCTGTAAAAATATGAAATCCAACTACATGTTCCTACAGGGCATGAGATTAAAAATAAAAAATAAAAAATAAAAAAAAAATTCGAGGATGGCCGGAATCCGCCCAAAACAGCCCGGATTCCGGCCATCTTTTAATCCCTTTTCAGACGGTCTACAAGGAAAAAAAATGATGGAAAAGTTGAGGACATTCGTACCACTAGTAGACGTGAAGATTGGAGGAGAAAAACTAGGTCAGGCGGCGACTCCGGCGAGGTCAGGTACTGCTCCGGCGAGGTCTGCCGGCGGCTCCGGCGACCAGAAAAAGCGTTTTAGAAAGCGGTCCTGAGGACCGCTTTGCCGCTTTAAGCTAAAAAAGCGACGCTTAAAGCGTCGCTTTTTGAACTATGGTGGTGCATAATTTTTTGCGCAGCCTCTGTAAGATCTTCCAATCTAATATCTGAACTAGATTGGGTGGGAACTGGAATATTCATTATTATTTAAAAGGCGAAATTCAGATGCTCAGCCAACGGAATTTGAAGAGACCTGGAATTACTTGCACTTAAGAGAAGTTGAAGAAGAGATGACTTTTAGTTTCTTCTTCCAGATTGCATAATAGGCAGGCAAGAGGTACTTGCACTTTCAGCTTCTCAATTTCTTGAACGTGTTTAGGTGATCCCGTTTCACCCTCCACAGGAGAATAGAGAATTTTGTTGGCATCTTTGACCAAATTCCCTTGGCTAGGACGTCTTTATGACTTTTATCTATAATACTTTCCACCATTCCCCCCAACTTGCTTATACGAGTACCAGATCTCCGCACAATCTTACTATTGGCCCTACAATCCAAACATTTATCCACTAGATTCCTTTCTGAGATAAAAACTTTCCAGAAATGTGAATTCCACAATAGGCCTGATTTGAATATCATTAAGTGTTTTTCCCTTAATATACCTATCTTGGATCCATTTTACCAAAATAGATTCACTCTTATCCCAGTACTTTGAGGCTCTTTTAATATTGGTTGCAGTAGTGGTAATAGGTAGGTATCTAACCCTTAGACCCCCCTTCTGTCTTGAGAAGGAACATTTGGGCTCATGGGATCCCTTTCCTTCCATCCCATGTAAATTTATAAGCTAACCTTCTCACCTTCTTAGCCACAGAATCAAGGATAGCCATACCTTGTGCCTAATAGGTATACTTTTCAGCTATTATCCAATTCACTAGTAGTATTCTCCCTCAATAGGAAAGACATTTCCCACTCCATCTTGCTAAAAGCACCTCTATTGACTGGATTAGCTTCTAGCATTGTCCAAATGACTTTTGCTTTCCCGTGCTACTGCTGCTGATTTGCTGTAGATGATTTGATGATTATCATTTAGCGATAGTGTCTGATGTGCCTGCATCTATTTTATTGTTCATGTAATATGTAATATATATATATATGAATTGCATTTTTGAAGCAATTAAAGTGGCATAAAATCATAAATATTTTTATTTTTAAAGTGAATGTTTTATACTTTGTAGTATTTTTGTTCGTTTGTTGATAGATTGAAGATTTCATTGCTGAAAAATAAAAAAAGGTGGGCATAGCTGAGATACAAATGTAGGAAAAAAAGGCATGTCAAACGTCATCACTCTCTTATACAGCTAGGTGTCTGGCATTAGGTAGCCATGAACTGATGCCTCAAGAGGTTAGACTCCCATAGGAATATAGCTTGATTTTCTTTTAAGGTGTGACACCATAAATATTGCCCACATCCCTCAGAATTTCTTTACTGACAACTTCTGGAGGTTTGAGTGTGTGTTGTTTCAACCTTTCATTCCTTTCACAATGGATAGGTGTCCAAGCATATTAGCCTAGATGTCAACTTTCCGATGGATTCAATAACATCACCTATTCCAAAATCATCATTAGGTGAGGGATGGTGAAGCTTTTAACTGCCTAAATGACATAGTTAAGTTCCTTTGTGAAACTTTAAACTTTAAAGCAACTCCTTGGTATAGTTACAATTGAAGAATGGGTGTGGGATGGATTCATCCTCTGATCCACAGAGGAGGCATGTGATTTGTAGATTAGTGCCCCAAGACTGCTATTTGGTGAGGGTGTTTAGAGCTTTCCCTTTATTTCTCCATAACAGAACAGAGAATTTGGGGGGCATCCTGGACCAAATTCTTATGTTATCTGAGCGTTTGATGCCTTTAGGTCTTAGAATTTCAGCATGTGGTAGGGGGAGTATTGGATGATTCTGTACATGAAATACTGGACTGGATTGTTCCTCTTTCTCAAAGGATGTTCTTCCACATTTAAGAGTCTGTGTTTGGCTTACAATTAATACTTAATATCTACGAGGATAGATTTTTCCATCCTCCAACAATTCTCCACCTTTTAACCAGGGCAGTGAAGTTGGCCATATGTTTTTGGGAGTCCAACATCTTGAGGCATCAGTCCTTGGCTAGCTAGTTATGGTTACAGCTTTGTAAGAGAGTGACAATGTCTTTATATTTTTGTATTTGCATTTTTCTACATATGTAACCTCGGGCACTGCCCAAACCTAATTTTCAGAAATGAAAGTTTTATTTCATAAAAAAAAAGTTGACGGAGAAAGTCTAATTTAAATTTGTGTGACGTGACTATACTTTCGTTGATAAAAATTCACATTCCCATTTATATCAAGATTTCTTTTATTGTTGATTACTCAATTAGGAATTTATCTTTGATCTAAATTTTTGAAGTTTCTATTATATTAGTTTCTATCTTTCTGAAATGCTCTTTTTTTCTGATGAGTTGCAGCTTCCAAGTTTGCTCCTGACTTTACTATAGTATCTGCTGGATTTGATGCTGCGAGAGGGGATCCACTTGGATGTTGTGATGTAAGGACTATGAAAGTTAACACTCAATTCTTTCTTATCTTAATAAAACTACCTTCTTACAATCAAATTATTTCAATAATATTTTATTTTGTATCTGTACCTTTTAAAGGAGATTGTTCATCACGATCATAATAAAAATCTATGCTTGAGCTGCATATTGAGTTTCCACCCATTTATTTGGTCTGTTTTGATTTTAGGTTACTCCTGCTGGCTATGCACAGATGACACACATGCTGTGTGACCTTTCACAGGGAAAAATGCTGGTCATACTTGAAGGAGGGTAATTAATTACCTTTTATTTATTTTATTGTCGTGTTTCTTTTTGTTTGTTTTCAGATAATTCCATCTGTATTTTTTTAATTTGCAGATACAATCTTCGATCAATATCTTCGTCTGCTGTGGCAGTGGTAAAGGTGTGTTGTTTGCAATCTCTACATTGAGTTATTAATTAGTTCATTTGGTGCATATGAAAACTATTTTTGTTATTCTGATTGTTTTTTTGCACTTGTTAATTTTGTTTATGCGAGCTTATTTGTTTTTTCATCGATTTTTTCTTACATCCACCATCTTTTGCATATTCTGTAGCAAGAGCAAACTGAAAATTTAATGTGATGGTTTGGGTTTCATTAATTTTCTGCTTAATAGCTATCTGTTTATCTATTTAATTAACTATGTAATATTTGTTAACCTTTTCTGCTTTTATTTGTATTTTCCTTATTTTTGAGTAATTAATTAGTTACAAAATAAAACAAATTTGGACACAATTTTATTTACTTGATATCCTTTTTCTTGTTATGTTTGTTATTATGTGATATGCAAGTTTTTTATGTTATTATTTTCCTTTGTGAATCATTTTTTATTCAGCGATAAATATTTGACGTTCATAGAGTTTGAACATTCAAATTTTTACATCATACAAAGTTTTTACAGATAATAAACACTTTTTTATATTTGTGTTCTACTGTTTTTCGAGTGTATGAATTATAACCATTCTTTTACATTGCTCTTCTCATATCTTAACTATTCTTTTTTATGTCAAAGGTGCTTCTTGGAGAAATTCCTAGGAAGAAACCCAGTGATGATATCAATCCTACCTTTAAAGGTTATCAAACGGTGATGGAAGTTTTAAAAATCCAATCAAGGTTCTGGCCATTCTTAACTGCCAAGTATGATCAAATACAATTGAAATGGGCGTCTGCAATTTATCAGAAAAGTAAGTCATTTTCTTGTTTTACTTTGAAAATATTTTATTTTTTGAAAGTTTAAGGTGTCTTAGTACCTACCTTATGTAGATTGAGTTATGTGATCCAATCATGGATCGATGGCAACCATGTATTGATTGATTATATGCAATGTTTTCAATTTTATTGTTGAAGACTTGTAGTAGTTGAGGTTTATAAATAGCCCTATCAATATTTCAATATCTGATTGATTAATATGTTGTCCGATGTTGGGGTGTATAAATAGCTCAATCAATATTTGGTTAAGGTTAATGCATTTATTGGTTTGGAGTCTAATTCCTTGAGACACCAACTAATATGTTTAATTGTTTGTCGATCTCTATGATGCTATCGACAGAGGGCTGTGAGGGAAAATGTGATGAACCCAATTCATTTCCCATATTAATGTATTTGATATAGAATATTTGGAAATAAAGATGATATAAATAAAGATGGTTAAGCTCGGCTCGTTAAGGAGTTATCCAGGCTCGGGCTCGCGAGCCTGGGCTCAAGCTCGAACTTAACCTGCAATTCTGAAATTGCAGGTTAAAAGAAATAATTTGGAGAAGTGGGGTATAGATCCCCAGACCTCTCGCATGCTAAGCGAACGCTTTACCATCTGAGCTACATCCCCATTCTCTCCAAATATAATATATTTTTTATTTTTTTATACTTCTCTTACCGAGCCCATCGAGCTTAACGAGCTTGAGCTTTAGGCTCGGGCTCGGCTCGTTGGGCTCGCGAGCCCGAGCCGAGCTTTACTTGACACCCTAATTGCAAGGTTTATTGTAATTATTTCAATATTAATTACCAAGGAAGGTATAAGATGGATGGAGAATATTATTGTGTTTGTTGAAAAATGAATTAGTTATCTAGGGTTGGTCGACAATCATTAGTGCTCGACTCTCTAAATAACTATATAAGTCTTCCTCTGTTCTCTTGTAAATCTGTCATCCTTGGGGAGTGGGGAGTAGCATGGATTTTCCTTTAACAAAATATCTTTTTTTGTTGTGTGTGCATTCATTATTTTCCTTTTATATTTGGATCATTTCTTTAAACTTATCATTCCTTTCCTTCTACCAAATTTTGTGAGTGTTATTGCCGATCTAGGTACACAAAATCATATTAGAACATTGAGAATGAGAGCTACTATTTTTTGAGAAAATCTAATCTACATAGTTCAAAAAGAACTATAGGATAAATTGGAAAGGAATCGACAACACTAATACACTTTGAAGTTTGGTGCCATGGGTGAGAAAATCAAAGTTATTGACCATAAGGGCAACCTTGTCGAAGTGATACGATTTTATATACTAAAAAATTCTCCATTGCAATGGTGGTTCCTAACCCAAGTGAGTTGTGCGCCTCCTTTGCAACTTCTCTGAAGAGACCCCTAATCATAAGGAAGGGTCCCAGCCGAAGCGATGGGTAAGCTTTGTGCTCCGAAGTGATGGGTTAATTTTAAGTGTTTACGATTTTATGAAGAAATCGCTGATTTCTATGTTGAAAGGAGATATCTTTGAAGATATTTAAAGATTTGCGGGAATATATGAAAATATTCTTTATTTTGGTAACATTTCTTAAACAAAAATTATGCACCAGAAGCGACAAAATTCTTCTGGCCGTAGCGACAGAAGTTATGCATCTCTGGCCGTAGCGACAAAGATTTATTGTTAGATTCTGGCCGTAGCGACAGAGTTTTGTTTTAGCCAAAGCGATAGAACTCTACCTGCAAAAAAGAAAGAATGTTTGATCCGTAGAAACGGATTCGTTTTAGCCATAGCGATAGAACGATATCTGCAAAACACAGACATAACACCAATATATTTTATTTATTGACCATATTGAACTTACCGTACGATTTACCTTTCATGTTACCTCCTCCCATAGTTTTTAAAGCGACGCTTTCAGCGGAAAAGCGCTCCTGGAGGAGCGCTTTCCCAATCGCTTTTTTTGGGCGGGTAGCCGGGTCGGGTTAATGGGTTTCTACCCATCACCGGGCAGTAGAAGCTTGGAGAAGGGAGGAGGAGAAGGATCTGTAAGCTGCAGATGGAGAATAAGTTACTCTACTGATTGTTGATTGATGCATATTTTCTCGTTTTAACTCCTCGATTATCCCATAGATCCGTTCTTCAGATTTTCTTATTTCCGCTGCAATGGAGGACAATGGTGCTGGGAGTGGAGCCACTAATTCAGGCACTAATCCGACGAATTTCTCTAAAATAATCGTGATTAAACACCTGAAAACAGTGACATTGGATCGCTCAAATTACTTTGCTTGGCGCACTCAGTTCGTCGTCATTTTACAGTGGAAGAATAGAACCGAAAACCCTAGACACGCTTGCAGTGGAAGAAGAGAACCGCGGCAGTGGAAAACCGTACGTACAGCCTGGTAAGAGAATAAGAATCTGTATATAGTGGGTGGTGGTTAGATGGACAGGTTACAGGCTGTCTTGTATATAAAAAATTATGTACAGTCTGTCCTGTATATTTGCAATTATTAACCCTATAAAAAATTATTTGCAATTATATATGCAATCTCAGGGGTATATATACAATTTTCGAAAAAATTGCAAATATTTACAAAATTGCCACTATGCTTTTTTAGCTTTAAGTGCGCTAAAGCGCTCCCTGGAAATTGGGAACGTTTTTTGCTTTTTAAAACTATGCCTCCTCCTTTTGTTCAAAGAATCTGGGTTTAACTATCCAGAGATCTTTTCGGAGCCCATGGTGTGTGTTGAAGCCATGAAGTTGTTAAGAAAGAAACCTGATGATTGGCTAAGCGACCAGCTTCATCAAGCGCTTCTTGCTATAAGTTTAAAGGTTTACATGCTAATTTTTATTAATTAACATTTTTGTTTAACATTTTATTTTAATTTTTGCCGACTTCCTATCTCTCGTATGCAGTCCACGGGTGTCAATCGAGGGTTGACACCGTGCATGAGCAAAGAAGGTACACTGAGTTGTATGATAAATACAAGGAGGTCAAACTCTCGGTTCAGACAGTGAATCACAAGAATCGGGACCTTGAGGCCATGCACGATAAAACGATTCCTGTTCTGAAAGAGGAACTTCGCCAGCAAACCGATCTTTATCAAACTTCGGCGAAGGGTTTATTGGATTGCAAAGAAGAATTATTCAAGTTGAAGACTTCTTCCGCAGCAACTGAGGCTGCTCTAATACTTGAGATTGACTCACTGAAGAGGCAACTTGCGAGCGAGATAGGAGAAACTATGAATCGTGACATCCTTGTCAAAGAATATGAATCGCAGCTCGTTGATGCTACCAAAGCGCTCTCTTCCACTGAGAAAGAACTGGATGTTGTTTCTAAGAAAGTTGAAGAGCTGAAACTAGATATGGAAGGTTTTGTGGATCAATTTCTCGAGCTAAATTACTTTGGTCCCTCCGTGTACCCTACTCTGCCGACAAGTTTTGCCAAACCATATTTTAGGATGGATCGAGTTTCATCCAGAAGAAATTGAGAAGCATCGAGAGACTCTCAATCGTTTGAAGGCCGGACGATAACCTGATGATCGTTTAGTATCAACTGAATACCAGACAATCTCTCTCTATTACAATATCTAGTCTATTACAAGTGTTTTCTCCCCTCATTACGTTCAACCCCTAAGGGTATTTATACACTTTCCTACTGAGTTGAACATTCTCTTTTGGGTCTGATCTGACCCGTCCGACCCGGCTAGGTCTGACCCCTTGGGGCAAATGGGTTGATACGGCTTCTTGTGTCATTTCGAGTGAAGTACAAGATTATTGACGTCTTCCCCGATCGGTCGCACAGGTGGAAGAATCACTATTTTTTTGCGAAAACAAGTGTGTTGGGTCTGCTTGGTGTTCCTTCTGAGTGGATGAATACTTCCTCATTTGAGGCTTGTCCCCTTTCCGTAGGGGATCTTACACCGGAAGAGGGTGTTAAATACACCCGACTGTTTTCCATTTGGGAATTCAAGCCTATCACCTACCCTGATCTTATGTTTGGGAGCTGGATATACTCTCATCCGTACCTCGTTCCTTCTGTTAAATTGCTTTTTTTCTTTATTGATATTTTTTCCTTTTTCTTTCATGCGACTCTGATGAGGAAGGTGTTATGGGCTTCTTTGCAGGGAACGGTTCGCACGGAAAGCAGAAGAAAAGGTCCCATACGGACAAACAAGCTGAGTTTCAAGGTGAATCTTCATGTGCCGTGGACGGGTTGGATATTTCGTCCGGCAATATTCCGACCAAGGACTTGAAAGCTCGTGACTTCGATGCCTTTCTTAACTCTGAGATGATCCAAGGTGATCGCTTCCAGGGGGACCGCCTAATTGTGACCGAACATATGCAAGCTCCTCGCATTGCTGGGATGTATAAGCATGCTCTTGAAAAACTGGATCCTTGGATTGTGAAAGAAGATGACTGGAAACATCTGGAAAAGATGGACGTCAACAACCTTGACGATGCCTGCTACATCCGTTCCCTTCAAGCCGTCGGGATTGAGCGTTTCAAGCAAAAAAGGGGCGTTCGGCGCACTCAGGAACTCAATGCGTCTATGGAGGAAGTTACTCGTTTGACTGGTCAACTCTCTCTTAAGGAGACAGATCTTGAAAATGCCCGTCGGCAAGTTGAGACTTTAACCAAAGAAAAGGATGACGCGCTCACCAAAGTTGAAGCAATTGAGAAAGATGTTGAAAGTGCAAAAGTAGTTTTTGCAGATCGTGTGAAGGTTGTTTCCGAGCGTAATAAGAGGGTTTGCTTCAAGAATTTCGTCGACGGGATGTGCCATGAGCGTGATATGGTTAATCTCCAGGACCCCCAATTTGAATCTGTTGTTGTCCCTATGAACCGAGATCAATGGAAGCAATGGCAAGTTATTGGAATTCCGGGTGACCATCCTGCTTGGCCGGAGACACTCGACGAGCTTAATGATTCCTCTTGATGTCTAAAAAACGTGTCTTTTGTTTGTTTGCTACTTTTTGATTTGGACGTATGCTACTATTTGATTTGGTCGGCTTATTTGTACTGTAGATGATGCTTGGACGGTTATTATCCGTGTGGGTTTTACCCAGTATTTTTGGCGTTTAGTTAGTAAGCCTTGCCACAGACGTCTGTTTTGATGCCAGATCTTTTCGAGTGGCTTTCAGGCTTTACCCGTGCGGCCTCTTCCACTAATTTTTGGTTGTTTTTCCCAACCGGATGGCTTTTCGATCCTGGTAAAAAGGTTTTAGCTCGGACGTGTCGATTGTGATATTGTGTGATGCTTGCTTTTTATAGCTCATTACGTAGATCTACCTCGTTGCGTATCTCCTCACTAAGTTCCAAATTTGTAGATAGGTTCTCATCATTTGTAGTTACGTCGTAGTTAGAAACCGTGTGTGTGGGAACACTCATTTCTATTGGTTTGACTGCCTCTACTCCGTATGCCATTGAGAACGGAGTGTGTCTTGTGAGATTCTTGGTAGTTGTGCGATATGCTCAGAGGATTTCACACAATTTGTCCACCCACGCTCCTTTTGTTGATTTTACTTTCTTCTTACGTCCTTGTAGAATAGCCTTGTTGGTAATCTCAACTTGTCTGTTTCCCTGTGGTAGGTACAAATATAGAACATTTTAAGCGTTATATTGTCACATGTTTTTAGCTTG